AGAATAAAGATTGTTAGTGTGGACGTTTCTGGGCTTATAACTTAAATCTAAAAAAAACTTGGCAAACATTTAAGTTTAAACATGAAAAATGTCGTAGTTATTATTCTGAGTAACCTGAAAACATTCAATTTCAAAAAGGAAACTAATTCTATTGAGTGTTTGTTCTGCATCATAAGCTACACATGATGTCATGAACAGAAGCAGGAGCTTTATCTCCTGTAAAAGATCGGGTTATCACTTCCTTTAAACATCTACTTTTTTCTCCTTTGTGTTTTTTCAAATATCACGAATAACATCCTGAAATTTATGCATAGCCTTTCCTCGTAATACATGACAAAGTTTAACAGAATAGTTGTGGTAGATTTCCTTGTCGTAGACACGTTTATAGGTGCTTATGTTTGTTTGTTTGTAATTAAGCACAAAGCTACACAATGGGCTATCTGTGCTCTGCCCACCACGGGTATCGAAACCCGGATTCTAGCGTTGTAAGTCCGCAGACATGCCGCTGTGCCACTGGGGGGGATAGGTGCTTATGAAACACGCTTCAAAAGAATAAAGTTTAATTGCTTTGAATGTACTTCATAGGTGGCGCCACAGTCTTGTTACCTCAGAGGTGGAGCAACCGAACTGTTACTTTAAACATGTTTCTGTTATCATAATGTTGTAGTCAATGCTTTTAATCTACACGTTAATAAAAATTTGCTTTGCTGTTCAGCCGAAATGAAGTTTAAAAATAGTTTTGATAACTGGATCTTTACTTCGAAGTGTTGGAAACAATTTGAGCCACATAAATAAACTATTTCGTTTAGTTAATGATGTTGGATAAATTATAGGAAAACTTGGGAATCTAAATAATATTTTTTTTTTCAAATAAATAAGAACTGTAGGCTATATTTTAATTTAGATTTTTGTAGCGGGCGCATGTAGTTAAGATAAAATAAATTCATAAAATTAATCCTAGAATATCTGCTATGACTGAAAAAAAATTACGAAATATCTAGAAACGAGAATAGGTGAAATATTGAGTCAATTTTCAGATCATAATGTGATTGCGAAATTAGTGAAGTATTCGGATCAGTGTTAATTATCGCATATGTTCAGTTACTTAATCAATTAGCCATTAAATTGTACAAGTAAAGTTATTTGTGCGTTAGTAAATTTATGTTGAAAATGTAAACGTTGTTTGTGAACTTAGTCCTATAACTATATACAAGTGAAAGTAGCCCTATGAAATGTCAAGTAAGAAATAAACCAATTTCTTATCACAGACTTTGAATTATTTTAATCAAATAATTGAAAAGAACCTGGTCAACGAAAAAACACTTTGCGAGCTAAGTAAATATATTTAAAATTTTCTTAACTTAAAGGACTTCTCTTTATCAAAAATATATATACCTAACATCAAGAAATATACAAGTGTAATGCTATACTTATTATTATTCCTTATTTAACTATTGTTGGTTTCTATCAAATTGTTGTTTGATTACGTAATAATATCAATATCATCAATGATATTGTGACAACGCTAGCCACGTGATGATGCTAGGTAAACCTAGCGAGACAATAGCATATTTTAAAAGTTTTATTCATATTTACTTCTGTATACTACACAATTAAAAAAAAACATTAATTAATGATTCCGTTCTTGAATAAATAATACACGACTTTAGATTACTACTGTCAGCAAATTAGATGCGAAACTAGCAAGAAGAGGAATTTCTGTTTGTTTGTGAAGTTAGGCTTATTGGAGAGTGTTTGAAATTTGAAGTTTAAGACATTTCTGTTATTAGCACGTGAAGTGAAATTTATATTATTATTTTTTTAAAGGCCAACAATGGACATCAATAAAATATGTCAAAAGTGGGATTAATTTGGTTAAAGAAACAAAAACAACAGACCCCCATCAAGTTTCGAAACATGCTCAAAACGAAAATATTATGGAATTGATAAAATAGGAGAACAAGAAGAAATAGACAGAAAGTTAAAATCAAAGGAATATCAAAATGGAAGACAGAATATTAAAGGAAAGCCAAGAAGAAATACAGAAATGTAAGAGAGTTTATAAGAACACGAAAGAAAATTTACAGAAGAATTGTGATAAGAAATATATTTCAGTAGGAACAGATTAGAAAATGTACAGAAGAATTATAATATGATCAGTATCAGAATAAAACGTGTGGAAACTGATCTGGAAAAGGCAAGGATCTACCTAACCTCACTCTTCTCTAGGTGCACGCGAGAATTGAAACCTTCACACCATTAACCATGCTACGTGCAACGTTACCTCTAATGTTGTACAGCCTATAACAGAAGATCCTTCGTCACATCACTACCCCATCAAGTTACGGAATTTAGCAGGCTAGTTCAGCAACAGTGACCAATCAAAAAACGATTTTTCAAAGTAAATGGATGGAAGTATGACAATAACCTATTCATCTTGCTACTCATTTAAAAGTACCATTATTTACATAATTAAGCAATCTTCTATTTGAGAGCTGTAATAAATATCAGGTATTAGTCTGCTTTATCAAACAGATTTGGAGTATCACATCAGATGGAAGTTTCTAAAGCAAAGGAAGGACGAAACGTTAGCCTAACTTGCCGAAACTATGGAAATTACAGGAAGCTGTTTCTTTGTTTGTTTGAAGTTAAGCACAAAGCTACACAATGGGCTATCTGTGATCTGCCCACCACAGGTATCGAAACCCGGTTTGTAGCGTTGTAAGTCCGCAGACAGACCGCTGTGCCAGTGGGGGAGGGGGCACTGTTTCTTTGATGGTGAAAGTTTAAGTTGCAGATAAACTACTAAAAACGCGATTTAAGAATTATAGTATTTTTTCGATCAACTAGCCAGAAACGTCAAATATCTCCGATAGAAGTTTAGAAGAAATCAAAAGATTAATTAGACAACCGTTTGCTCAAAATGGAAGAAGTAAACCTCAGGACAGTCTATGTTTCAGCTGCAACTTGAAAGAATAAATTAAACCACAGACAAAGTTATCTAGGAAATAAAAGCCCCTCCCAAGGGATGGCAAGTAAGGGAAAATTGCCATCAGTATGGAAAACGGGGACATTATAGCCGACACTGTGATGAATCAACTGATGATAATAAACCAATGAGATGATAGAATGAGGATAAGCTCCAGAAAACAACCAGAGGGCTAACCAAACAATGGAAAAAATAGAAATTAGTTGAACTTAAAATGAAAGTTCAACTTATAACTCTATGTACCTGAGTTGAGATAAAGAAAGACTGTCCACGAGTTAAAGGATTCATTGATGAGAAGCTACGAAGCGTCTTGACAGAAATTGATTCTATGGCTATCATTATTCAACTTGGTTTTTGTAAAAATTCGTGTCACTTTCAAGGAATTTTCTTAGTAGTAGTAAGGTTGATTGTTCATTGTCTGAAAGATGAATACAATACTAAGAAACCTGTGCTGACCAAGAAAATTGTCTTTTCGCAGTAATTCATTTGAATAAGCTGTGTAAATTTTTCGACTATTTTTGTCAGTTCAGTTTAGAAGTATAAAGTTGCTCAAGAAAGAAACATAACTTCTCCTTACCTTAGCTGCACATGGGAGTAGATCCAGTAATTGTTCATTAAGCATGTTTTCTTGCACTAAAGAGACAGCTGTCTTTTCTGTTGGCGAATCTTCCTAGGTGTTAAACTTAGCTTGCTTTAAATTCTCGAGATTTTTAAACTTAACAGTTTTGAAAACTTGCGAAAGTTGATTTCGTTTGATGTCTATTTAAATAAGGGTTTAACTTTTTCTTTTAGCTTACAGGAGGCTCACACTGAAGTGGTGAGAGAGAGAGAGATCCAATAAATATTTCTGTTCACATTCTCTCTCTTTCCGGTTCAACAAACCCACTACAAACACTTTCCCCCTGCTGATGAAATGACCTCCGGTAACTCGCAGGAATAGGAGAGATACACAAACCAAACATAATCAGGATAAGTAATATAGCTGTGTATCACCGATAGAGTTCAGCGAGATGAAAAATGTCTTTTTAGGCCTAATAAATGTTTGTTAGGTTAGTAACCTCGTTGCTTTTTAGACACAGAAATGTTGGAACACCAAACTTTTCAAGTTCACCCCATCAAAACGGAGCGTTTTAAAAACGATATATAACCGGGAATGCTGACAAGAAACAACTTTAAATAAAGTCTAAAATTGGAAGGGTGTTTGTTTTTTTATTGTCAGGGAAGAGACAAAGAAAATTTGCATATTTTTGGTATCAAATAGCACTAAAATTTTAATCGTGACTTATTCACCAAAATCTGTCCATAGTATTCCAGAAAAGTTTTACTGTAATTTTCCCAATATGCAGGTAGGAAAAATAATATTATAAATAGATATACATTATCCAGCAAGTTACACGTTTCCAATTATTTTCATTCATACACAACGTGCCAGTAAGTCACAGCTTATTACAGTCTTAGCTTTTCCTTTTTATTAAATGTATAATTACTTCGTTTGCTTATAGTTCTAAAGTTTAAAAAAAAAAGAGGAAAAACCTACGCACAGTATCATGAAGAAATTCATTGCCACTAAATAGTGTAACATATCATATGGGCAGAGCTCAATTTGCAAGCCATAATAATTTATTTTTAAGACTCGATAATAATATGTTTCAGTTTATTTGTAATAAAAAAATAAATTTCCTTTTTTTCTTAATTGGTGAAACAACAAAAAGAAACTTGGCACATTTAATATTAGCTTACAAACTTTTGATACACGGGCAAGAGTTCTTTCTCGCCATTAATATCATGGTGCTGCCATCTATCTGTGATTATTCTAAAGAATATATTAACTAATTTGTTTAAAGATGTTTCACCTATTTATGCACGCAAAACTGTTTCGTTTTTCAAACTATTATGAAATTGGTGACTCTGGAGTTTAGCAGACACGAAAAAATACAGGAGTTGTAGAACGATATTAAAGTAAATAATTACTTTTTTCACATCATTAATAAAACACACCACACAATCTAGATTTTTCTGATAACTGTATCATTTACTCATGCAAGCTACATGTAGATTTTCTAACCACAAAGGAACTCAGAATTATTATTACACCAAAAGCTATTGCTAATATAAAATTATTTACTTTTTAAAGTTGACGACAATAAGTTCAAATAAGCACAAGTGCGATACAGAAAAAAATGGATAGGAAATACAAAACAAACTAATCGCGTTCATATTTGCTATCTACCTATATATATGGCACACATGGATGAAACTAGAGCAGTTTGTGACGAGTCTAAGCCCCAATTTGGGACAGGGCTGAGCCCCATTTTGTGACAAGTCTAAACCACAGTTTCGGACAGGGCTTATCCCCGGTTTGCGACATAACTAAGTTCCAGTTTGTAGCAAGTTTAACACCCAGTTTTGAACAAGGCTAAGACCATTTTGTAACAGGTCTAATCCCTATTTTGGGGTAGGGCCGAGCTCCAGTTTGCGACAGGTCTAAACCCTACTTTGGGACAAAGCCGAGCCCCATTTTCTGACAGGCCAGATCCTTCTCAAGCAGGTTACTAGATGACAAACTGTTCAATATCGTGGGGCAGGCACAGGTCATTTTTCTCACTAGGGGACTTTGCAATTTCTTGAGGACACTTAATCTGGTTCTCTCAGCTTCAATCTCTTCACTAACTTTAGGAATTCACAATTATGTTAATTAGTAAGGGGGATTGGTGTAATTCAAATATCACAACCACCAGCAAGGAGCTGGATTCACACTAATCTACGTAGGTTGTTTACAGAAATTATTAGATTACTATCTTATCCTACAAACCCAAAGATTTTTTTTTGTTTGTTTAAGTTCAGGCAAGTTATCAACTTACATAACTCACTGTAACACTTCAACTATTTTCATCACATTATATACAAGGTAACATAGCTCTCATTAAGCAGGCACTAAATAAGACATAATACCAGTTTCTTCAACGAATTAATTCATGAAAACAAAATATAGGGTTACATAAAATAAATGGCTGATAACAAAGATGATTTAGAAATTAAAGGTTGCCACAGAAAATGTGCATTTGTTTTGTTGTGTAGACTCCATTGGCAACAACACCTACTTGCTCAGGTCACATTTCTTTCAAAATTATGAAACAGGTGAAACTTCGCACAGGCATCTTCTAGAGAATACAAAGCAATACTGGATGGGGTGTCACTTTTTGGGGGAAGCCAAGAGGCTCTAAATATGTTTTGTAAACATCGTATAAGCTTCAGTTTTGCATTATAGGTCGGTCTGTTGGAACTAGAAGATCCAGTCAGCATGGGCTTCATTGCGATCATGAAGAGGCTGACTCCAGAATTCCAAATGCTCCAGAGAAGAAACATCACGTAATATATAGGTAGAATTCTCATTATTTTGGTGGTAGTGGAAGTTCTTCAACCTCTGCACTCTGTGTCCCAGTACAGATTTATGGATGGCCTTGGGCACAGAAAAACAAGTGTGAGTACTTAAACACACACATCAACACCATCTATGAAAACCTGAGTAAACCAAAGTCCATAAGCCTTACCAAATTTCCATGCGTTTACCAGATTCAACACAACTTCACAGTTTTTCAAAAAGACAAGAAGGCAACAATCACAGAAGCCTTCATCTCCACTGCAAAGCCACGCGAACTCACCCATATTCCATTTAGAAAGATTCACCTGTCTTCAAGACTACCCTTGTGGGGAATGTCGATAAATTGAGACAGAAGCGTTTATGCAAAATGTGACAAGTTTTAACCCTAATACAAACATTCTTCCATTAAAGGTAACAGTAGTCTTTAATATTACTAATTTATATTACTGTTATTTACATTAGTATAAATGTCAATCTACTGACAGGTAATTTTGTATTATGACTTTAATATGCTTAAATATCTATTGAAAGGTTGAGCTGTCTGTATTTCTCCATTGAACACAACATTCCTGTAACATTCAAAGAGAGCCATCTACCGGGAAAGACCACAAGCCTCCAGCCCCAAAAGCGTACTTCAACATTTGAGCAGCAAACACTTATAAGGAACATTTTAAAATGTGGCTGCAGATGGACTACATTTAATTCACATTGAAGGAAAATGGACTTGATAATTTTTTTTTTTACATTAGATTCATATTATTTATATGTTGGATACTTGTTTGTCATTGCTTAGAATTTTTATTAACGAGAATATTTTGTTACATATTTTCATTGGTTGCACGTTTTTCCCGGTTTAGGACTTTATTAATGATAGAGTTGTAGTTATATTAGGAGTTTATCAACGAGACAGTTTCGTTACGCTTTAGTGAAAGAAAGGTTAGCTTCGTCAATATGTAAACATAATGCTTAATCTAGGGAGTGTTTACCACATTGTTCGGAATAAAGCTGTCAAAATATACGCGTGTTCTCGAGCCACGTGTTCTTTCAACCTAACCCTTCTATTAACAGCTCAATTCTCACTAGAAACCTAACAAAGAGATGTTGCCCGAAACGTTGTTTTCGTGTTTTATTTACTAATAAAACTATTTTAATTTGGCGAGTTTCTCACCATTATTTTATATTCTAAGTTTGTAAAATATAGAAGTAATTTAGTTTTAGAAAACTTGCTTCTGATTGTCAACAGAATTTGAAAAACATCAAAGTAATACATCACACAGTTTTGGTAGAACATATATCATTTTATACAAATGGTTTTATGGTTCTCCTTATATTTTTAGTAGGATATGGCACCCCTTATAATATGGTTTTTATAAGCCTAAAAAGGTGTCTGTGCAAAGTTTCATGCTTCTGTCACATCCGAACTACATCTACAATACTAAAAGCTACTGGGAAGTAGCTTGAATGTTAAAAGATCAGTTTTCAAAAGCGCCGCTAGGGGACAAAGCATCCGATCCACAGATTTTTCTTCTTTTTAAATATGAAAAATTCGGATATTTTTTTTATGTACTTTTGTATTCTCAGTTTTAGCATCGTTGTTGTAGAACCAAAATTGAATTATTTCACTAAATAGCGAAGTACACGTAAACTCTGAAAGAAATCGTAAGGTCTCAAAAATTTAGAAAAAAATTAACACTTGCAGAATCGTTCATAGACGATTGCAAACTTTAAAACGTTGGAAGCGTTTACCGAACACAATTAAAAATATAATCTTATTTTCTCATACTTGTGTGACTGAACCACCCATGAAAATCACCAGAAACCATATTTTGATTTCCGACAATGCTATTAAGGAGATTTTACCGATAAATAGCAGCCGGTCGGTAGCAGCAGCACGATTTACTCTCTCTCTCTCTCTCGGTATTTTTTATTACAAATACACTTAATATACAGTGAACAATGTGATGGCCATATAACTAGTACGTAGAAACCTGTATATTTTAGCAAATGAAGGGGAAAAAAACAACATACAATGGGTTAACTGCATCAGGGCTGAAGCATCAACTCAACTGAAGCGACAACGAAAGGAACTACTATTTAAGTCTGAATACTGCGGAAGAATACACTACACAAAATTCATGATTAATCGTCCAAGAAAGGAGAACAGCTCGTATACAGCCTTGTGCAACTTGAACAGCTCGTATACAGCCTTGTGCAACTTCATTACTCAATTTGTTCTGTTTCAGCAAGTGCTAACATTGAAATATATTTTAACAATTTCGTTTTCTAACTGAAAGTCTAAATCTAGGCTTAGCAGCGTTTGTTTTCTCAATTCCAATTGGAAGCCATTTAAATTCAGTTTACTTATTATTTAGTCTAAAAGTTAATTATAGATTTGTATTAGTGTCCATTTTTGAAACAATTCTTCTCGGCATCATTGATATAGCTTGGGACACAATACAAGTTCCTCAACTCAGATCGCTGGTTATTTTGAAACCGGCAACTTAAAATGTTTCCGCGAATTAACCAAAAAAAAAAAAAAAGGAAAAAAAATTAACAAAATTCTCGAATTAACCAAAAACTATTTTCAGACCACACAAACACATTTATTTCAGTTGTTCCGGACATTTCTTCTTTTTCGCTACTCTCATCGTACGCTTAATCAACCTCGTGTTATTTCCCCAAGGTATTACTAGGTTTGTTTTCAGTCCGGTCTCGCTTTTGTCACCCATTATTATAACGCGATTCTTTTTGTCTTTCATGGAGTCCAACATCTCTCCACAACAATCAGTCATGTTGGGGTGCACGAATGTCGGGGCTGCCAACTCCTCTCTGGCCACCAAATCTTCTTTGAAACTCAGGATTCGAGATCTTCTACACTTCATTTTGTCGTTTATTATTCTTCGAATTCTCGTCTTGATCACTAAAGACGAGATGGAAAAGCCACGTTTTAGAAATTAGCCTAAATTTTGACGTACTCCACGTATTTAGACACGTTTGTTTGTTTTTGAATTTCGCGCAAAGCTACACGAGGGCTATCTGCGCTAGCCGTCCCTAATGTAGCAGTGTAAGACTAGAGGGAAGGCAGCTAGTCATCACCGCCAACTCTTGGGCTACTCTTTTACCAACGAATAGTCACATTATAACGCCCCCACGGCTGAAAGGGCGAGCATGTTTGGTGTGACGGGGATTCGAACCCGCGACCGCAGACTGCAAGTCGAGCGCCCTAACCACCTGGCCATGCCGGGCCCTTAGACACGTTTACAATATGCTCTGAATACTAATTTATGTTCTAGTTATTTACCGCTTTATTCGAGTAATGAGATTAAACTATTCATGTTCGTGTTCCTATTCATTCTTTTTTGGTAATCTTCCAAATTCCTAAGGCATTCGTGTGTACGCGGAATATGAAATATTATCAACGAGAAACATACTTTTTAAAGACGTTCCCGAAACCAGGAAACCGTACATTTGATGTGTTCAATACCACGATTTTAATATCATCACTGAGAAATCCCACCCACCTCTCATTGCTGAAAATTATCATCCCAAGTTATTTATCCAAACTTCCACGACGTTCCATCCTCAAACAGAATATTGCTTTCATTGTAGAATTACCCACCCACCCCCGCCAGTGGCACAGCGGCATGTCCGCGGACTTAAAACGCTAGAATCCAGGTTTCGATACCCGTGGTGGGCAGAGCACAGACAGCCCATTGTGTAGCTTTGTGCTTAATTACAAAACAAACAAACAATGTAGAAATATGTAGTTATAATGTTGCAACTACTATCAGCTGTTAGACACAAGTTAACGATAACATACGCCAGTTGCAACTACTATCAGCTGTTAGACACAAGTTAACGATAACATACGCCATTCGTAGATATTAATATTAAATACACATTTATTTATTTTTCCCCCGTCGACCTCCGAGGTCGAGTTACTCGTAAACCAAATTTTTCGTATTAAATCCAATTTGTCACATCTAAATGAGAACTCGCAAGTGTTTCGTAAGTTGTATTATTTCAAAGAAGGCCGACAACACTTGTTTTATGGAAAAACTATAAAAAAAAAAGTGTCTTAACCAGAAGAACAAGTTATGAAACTGGAATTCTACTAGTCGGTCGTTGTTAGGGGAAACAGGTAGTTACCTAGAATTTTGATCGTATGCAAAATTACCCAGGACAAAAGGTTTTAAACATGATGCGTAAGTTTTGTCGTCAGACAGTCGCTCGTATTTCTGTTGTTCTTGGCTCATTGAATCCGATGGTAAATTTATGTGATTATCTACAGATTTCTGAATATCATTATAACAATTTTTCTGTTTTCTTTTCTTTTTCTTAAGGATCTTGTTGATAATCTTACAAATACTTAAGGTATTCGTGTACGCGGAATATGATTGATAATCCTAATGTTAGAGATACTCCCGTACGAAGGAAATACTTTGTTGTTGTTGTTGTTGTTGAACACCACGACTCTTACATAATCACCGAGAAACTCCTCGGATATTATTATTCACAAATTATTTATTACAATTTTCTATGATGTTCCGTCCTCGAGCTATTGTTTTCAAATGTAGAAATGTGTAATCGTAATAAATTTGGTTTTTTTTTTTTTTAGAAGGTATGTACAAATATACTACAAAACAGCCTGCCATAATTTAGTGCAATATGAGAGTGGCGGATTCGAAACCCGTTGCCGAACGTGCTCGCCCATTTCAGCGCGGGGACGACATAATGTGACGGTCAATTCCACTATTCGTTGTTAACGAGTAGCCTAACCGTTGGCGGTGGGTGGAGTTGACTAGCTGCCTTTCCTCTCATCTATTACTTCAAAATTAGAAACGGCTAGCACAGATAGCCCTCAAGTAGCTTTGGGCGAAATTGGGCTAGCGTAGATTAAAAAACGTCGTAATTTACAGAAACTAATCCACTTATTCATTTTAATAGTTTCGTACTTCATCTTTCATACTTCAGCGC